TGGTCCGAGTTCACTTTTGGCTCCTCCACAAAGCCCAATTCCTATGTTTCAAGCACCGGTTATTTCTCTGCGATGTCCATATAACCGGTCTTTGGAACAGAGACCGGCCAGACTCGGAAAACTTTGTTGCGTTTCTAGCCCGGGCAAAGGGTCTTCGGTGTTGGGATGCCAGGGATAGGGTCTATGCGTTTCTCGGACTACGCATGGCCCAAGTTGGTCTTGGAAGCGGCCCAATTGTGGTGCCAGATTATCAAAAGCCTCATGATGAAGCATTCCATGAGCTGGCGCTCGAATTTCTCAAGCATACCAATGACCTATGTATTCTGTCAGCAGTGGATCACACTTCCGAGACGCTCAAGTCGGACTTTCCATCTTGGGTTCCCAGATGGGACTGTGCTGTTTCCGTTGACCAGTTTGGTCTTCATGATGTGCCGTATAACGCATCACGAGGGATGAAGCAGACAAAGCTTAGCTTTGTCTCCTCTACAGGCTTGAGGGTTCGTGGGTTCACCCTCGACCGAATCCACTTCCGGTCCAAAGCCCTTCCCAAGGCTTTGCCTGCGGCTCTTCATACTCTCTGGGAAGGCTTTTCGGCGCAGAATCAGAATTCGCTGGCAAGCCTATGGAAAGCTGTACCTTTGCCTCTACAGAATCTGTTGATTCTACTTGCAAGACGAGTCCCTGAAAAGAACAAGAATTTGTTGGTAAATCTTTGGGTATACCTAGCTGACACAAGGCATAAATCTGCATACGATGATGGCGAGCGTCTGTTTGCCTTTATCAAGACGCTGCGGCGGGGAGCACACGACGAGGGTCGTTGGGCGTTGACGGCGGATGAAGCGGCATTTTGTCTGAGACTTTGCAGGAAGAGCGCCTCTTTCGGCTGCGCGAACATGGCTGAGCTGGAACAGGTCGCGCAAGGCAGTGATGGCAGAGATTTCAGACTTCATACGAGTGCGTGGTGTACGGGTCGGAGGTTTATCCTCACAAGCAACGGCTACTATGGGCTCGCGCCCGAGGCTGCCGAGGAAGGAGATGTTTGCTGCATCATTCCTGGTTTGCGGGTTCCTGTCATACTGAGAGGGATGAATAAAGAACAACACTACAGACTGGTTGGAGAAGCATTCATCTTTGGCTTGATGGAAGGACAGGGTATTGCTAACAGGGAAAATTGGGGTTTGAAAGAGGAAGATATTATCTTGTGTTGAAGACTCCGTTTCGTGTCAATCGAATTGAACTGTTTATGGCGTCAAAAGTGTATCCCAAGAAGGCAGGCATCTTGGGCAGATGGTACCAACCCACGGCATTCCATTCGCAACCTGCACAAGAATTGTTACCAGTCAAGTTGGTACACGGAAAAGACCCAACGACTTGGAAGCCCAGCAAAGGGGCTTCACCGAAAAAGGACCTGTCGATTGGTTACACAGATTCAACACATGACCGGGCAAGAGGCCTAGGCACGGACGTTCCCTTCATGTATATATATTAATATTCAGTTGTTTCGCTCTGTAGTCAAATGAAATTACACGCATGATACAAGTATCGTGCAAGCGTAAAATCTAAAACAGTATTGTGCTGTACCAGACCAAGGACAGTAGGAGACTAGAAAAGTAGACCGTCTCAGCGCAATTAGTGCCGCGCCGCGGCCGCTAGCCAAGGCCATCTCGCGATAGCCTCAGCCACCGTCATCATAGAGGCAATCATGTATATATATTGACTATATAGTAGTCACCCTTCTCTTCCTTCCTCTTGTAAAACCAAAGACCTTGGATATCCTTCAGGATTCTCTTTCAATCCAAGCCTTTTGCTTCAGGCCTACTATCGTAGCCTTGTCACAGGAGTGAGACCTCTTGTTTGAGTCGTAGACGGGAGAATGCCGAGGATAACAAGTGTTTTTATTCCAACTATACATAAAGGACCGACTTTATTGAAAGCACCAGTTCACCACCAAATGTTATGGGTTCAATGATCAGTGAGTAACGATTTTGCAGCTGCCCGGGTTCCTGTCGCAGTTGCACTTGGAGGGAGCATTCACCCATCCTGTAAGACGACTATGCATTGCAGGCCAGCGAGTCAGCGAGCGACAATCTCGACAAAAGTGCGGTTGGGAAGAGTCTCACTTGGCAATGTCACTGGCGTAGCAGTGAGTAGCAATACCGTTCTGGAGCTGTCCCGTGTTGGAAATAGAGCCCGAATTGTAAATTCTGGCCGCGCGGTAAAACGCAGAGACGTCCCCACGACCAGACTCGTTCATGCAGCTGGCGAGGCCATCGCCAGAGTCAGTACCGGCAGCACCCTCACTAATCATCTCATAAATAGTAGAGGCAGGGCACGGGTTCTGGACGCGGCCGTTATCGTTGCAAGTGCCGTGGCCATTATGGTCCTGCATGAGGCCTGGGTTACGCACCCCCCAGTTGGTAGTCGGGGCACGAACGCAACCGTGGGATTCCTGCATCATGACGGCGAGGATGAACCGGTGGTCAACCCCAGAGGCATCGGCAGCCCTCTGTATGGCGTCGTAGATGGCACCAATCTCTTTCCCGCTGTTGTTGGGCTGAGGGGGGTTCTGGTTGCCGCAGGACCGCAACATCTGGCTCTTGTAATTGTGGAACATGTTCGCAAAAGAGACCCAGCGGCTTTTGGGGGGCCAGCCTTGTCTAGTACTTCCGTCACCCCAGTACATTGTATAAGAGTCGACGCCGTTGCCCCTGCCGTCATGGACGTTGCGGCTCTTGTGTGTGGCGAGGTTGCCATAGCGGACACGCTCGCCCTTCTGGCGTCGCTCCATGCGGGGAGAAACTGGAGATTCAGAAGCGGCAATTGCATTGATTGGGGGATGGTTTCCGGGCATGTAGTTGCCGCCATAAGGTTTCTTGACTGTGAAAACTGAGGCAGGGGGCTCTGAGATGACACTGGAGTCGGCGACTGAGGGAGGGTAAGGAACAGCACAAACCGCGCTGATAAAGACGGTGATGACGAGCTGTAAAGGAAATCAGTTTGTGTCCAAGTAGCCGGATGAATAACGAAAATACATTAGCAAGCATTGTGAGTTGCATCCTATGTACGAATAGCTCCCGATGTATTAGTGTTGAAAAAGAGCAGTGTATATCGTTGTTCAATGACCATGGAGGTTCACGACCAAGTGAAGAAGATTTTGCCAGAGGACGAGCTCTATAAATACTCGAGTGACTCCATATAAGGTGAAAAGCTCATCTAGTTGCTAACATGGCGTACATTTCTGAAAAACACCAACCTTGGTAGTTTCAGGCACGCCATGGCCGTAACTCGGCGTGTCAAGCAGACCAATTGTGCAACTATTGCAACGCAGAATGCATGCAAGCACCAACACGGATGACTTTACTTCACGTAAGCCCGCGCGACGAGTTTACCCCATGTAAAGCCCGTTGGAGTACTCTACATGTCAGTGCCATTAGCCGTATCACGCATGCCAAGACGGAAGATCGGGGTTGCAATAAGCTAGAACCATGTTAGGCTCCAAGTTGCATTGCCTCAACTGTTCTGCATGAGCCAACGGGCACTCGTGCACTCCCCGCACCATGCACACCCAGATTCATGTCTTGTGATGCTACCACGACACGCCTGAGCGCAGTCTCGGCGGCAATGTTGAAATTCTATGAGCTTGCAGCTCCAATCAGAATCCCGCATTGAGCAATACATATGCATCACCTCTGCAGAGGGCAGTCAGAAAAGTTGCTCGGAGCTCTGGCCAGTCCTTTGCTGGTGGTCGCACTTGGACACGGACGATAAGACAACAGGAGTTGTTGCCAGAGACCCAAGATTGAACTCGGTCATATTTGGTGGCCCGGCCTTGAGCCTAATGTGGCAGGTGGACGTTGACGCAGCGCAGTGACACAAGTTGACGAGGTGATTTGACCGCTTGCGGAGCTGCAGCCGAAGAACTGTTTATTCGCATCTAGATGGTGGTTTTGTCATGAGTGACTTGCGGGAACAGGAGGGCTTTTGGTAGTTGACTGAAAGGAGGTCAGCAACACCCCAAGTTTTGGCCAAAGGCATCAGGAATATATAAATTAAAGCTTGTCCAGATATAAGTTGGTGCTCACTCTTGGACGCGGCGCAAAGTGTTCAAGGTGCTGCATTGGAACATGAGATATGTAGTCCAAGAGCTCCGACGTCGTCTGCGTCCTACGACTGGGAAGCTACGAGCATATCCTCCCAAAGCCGGCATGACACTACATATGTACGGACGCCATTTCCACTCGGCAACGCCACCAAGCTCCCGTCCTGCATACATATGTAGCCCATGCGCCAGACCGTTGCAGCATCAGACTTCATCGGCTCCTTCAACGCCAGCCGAAACCACATGCAACCAACCAATATTGAACTAATTACCCACCCCTGCAGACTGAGGTGCACGATGCCTCTCATGCCATGACGAAATCGGCAGCTCGCGACCTCATCAAGGCACTTGCCCACTTTCTCCGGCACAGCTATGGCGTAAGAAACTCTGGACCCGGCCACGACATCATGTTATTGTTTCCGTGTCTACTAGCCAGAGAGCTCCTGCTCTGCATGTCCTACGGTGTCATTGGCACTGAGGGCATCTACACTGCTGCATCTCCGCCCAGCACACTTGCGGATTTGGCAAGACAAAAAAAATAGGATGGTCTGTGCAAGGTTCTGGTTCAAAGTTGGTGGTATCCTTGGCGTCGGCTCTGGCGATTCTGAGGCCACTGACAACATATGCAGGCGATACCGGACCTCCATCCAATATTTGAAGCTTGAATAGCATTCTGGACTCGACAGATGGACCGGGCGAAGAGAGCCGTCATGATCGGTGGGCTATGATGCTACTTGTTGTAGGCGCGGCCGAGCTGGTGGAGGATTATTGCTGTACTAAAGGGTCAACGGGTGTACTTGGTCATCATTTGCACTTTCCTCAGTGGGATCGTTGGGCACGTGATCAACTTGACTCCCACAAGCAACATCTCAACATCTTCTCAGCACCTCGAATCGTCAACATGGCTCGCGGAACCAAATCTAGCCAGAAGAGCAGCGACACGCTGAACCAGCGCCTGAACCTCGTCGTCAAGTCGGGCAAAATCTCTCTCGGCTACAAGTCGACGCTCAAGGCCCTGCGACAGGGGAAGGCGAAGCTGATCTTGATTGCTGCCAACACGCCGCCTCTGCGCAAGTCGGAGATCGAGTGTGAGTTTTGCATCCACCTGCTCGGCCAATCGACATTGACATGGTGACTGAGACGTTTTTATCCAGATTATGCAATGCTCAGCAAAACGCCGTTGCACCACCACGTCGGCAACAATGTATGACGCCTTTCTTCACCACCGAGCTTGATCCCCCGAACCCGACCCTCGTCACGGACGACGGAGCTTTTCCAACTGACGAGTTGCAATAGATCGAGTTGGGAACCGCCTGTGGCAGACTTTTCCGCTGCGGCGTCATGGTCGTTCTCGACGCTGGCGATTCTGACATCCTCAGCGAGCAGGTTTAGCCTGGTGGCCATTAGCAAGTACGTGTACCATCTATGAATACAAATCGAGTCCTGAGAAGCATTTCTATCCCGTGGAAATGATGGAGGACGATGTTTCTGACGCGGGTCCTGTCGCAGGAAAAGTCGCGCATTGCTCAAATAACCGGAAATGGTAAGTCACCCAAGAGTCTCGTCAAGTCCTGAGAAGCATTTCTATCCCATGGAAATGATGGAGGACGATGTATCTGACTCGGACCCCGTCGCAGGAAGAGCCGCATTGCTCAAATAACCGGAAATGGTACGTCACCCAAGAGTCTCCTCGAGTCCTGAGAAGCATTTCTATCCCATGGAAATGATGGAGGACAACGCAGATAATCTAGGATTCGTTGTAGCAAATGCCAGCCCGTCTCAAGTCCGGATCGTCCTTGGAACTCAGACGCAACATGTGATTGGGATACGTTACCTAGTCCAGATACCTCGCTAGATACTTCTCTAGATACATGACATTTCCTAATGAGACAACATTTAATTTCTTGCCAAGAAAACTCACGTACACTCATACATTTGGTGATTCCTTATCGTTTACAAATGCAAGGAGGCTGATGTGGAACGCAAAAGACATTGCATGAAATAAAGTTCTGGGCTATTCCAACCAAGTGGTCAAGGGAGAATCGATGATGACCTTTCCCTTGGGTCTCATTTACTCTTTCTTGACTCTGGGATCTAATCAAGCTTGATATGATAGAGCTGATACGCATTAGACCATGCCTCCAACGCACAGCTGTCTAGGGCAACATTGTATCAGTAGACGTCTCTTGATTACAGCGAGCCCAAAGCTTCGATTACGCTGGATACTTGTTCCGAGTCGGCTGCGACCACGTTCCATCTGCACCAGCAGAGCCCGGTTGAGCCCGACATACCCGAGTAGGATGCGCTGATGGGTCGCCGAGCAGCAGTGTGTTGGTCAAGAATGCCCAGAAAATCCCCAAAATCCTCAATCTCGAGGTCAAAAGTACCCACAAAACAGTCAGGGAAGAATGATGTGCCCATAGGAAGGTTGCAAATGGACATTTGCCGACAGGGGCCATGTGCAATATCACGTCCGCAAGGCGCATGAGGGGAAGATGCCAGTAAAGAATAAGAGGTATCATCTTTTTAGCAAGAATGGTGATGGAAAGTTCTGCTGCCTTCATTGCGCTTACGCAACAGCCCAGGGGCCGAACCTTCGAAAACACATCGGAAGACCAACTGCGCGAAGAGAGCGAGCTGCCCCAAAACAATTACTCTGCCAGGGCTAAGCCAGGTCCCAGCGCTCAACCAAGGACACATCTTAACGAAGACTCAGGCATGACTATCTGGGATCATATCGAGAATAGTGCGGCGACTTTTGACAGTTTGGACGAAGAGTTGATTCGAAAGACAAATACTGAGCTTTTGCTCCTAGAAGGTTAGTTCGTTCTATTGTCTAAAAGACTAGTCCTAGCGGTGTTCTTGTTTACTTAGGCGCCGACAGCTTCCAGGACTACGCTGAGGCCAAGCAAGAGATCATGGCTTACAATTGGCGACGTATGTGCCAGTACTCGTCGCCACCCTCAATGGAATGTTCGTGATACCTCGGAAGAAGAAGAAGACTGCTCGCTCCAAAGTCGTATTACACCAGATGCAGCTTTTGTGTCTATAAATCGTGGCAGTGTGAGAGTTGATCATGGTTGCGCATCATGTCACGGCAAAAAAAAAACAATGGTTGTGCGCGCTGGGAAGACATGGACTGCTTTGGAGGATCAAAGGGGCATCGTGCCAAAGGCATCCATGTCTTTAAAAAAACCAGGAACGACTCGAAATTACGCAAAGAGCATCTGAAATTGAATCCCTTTAGCAGGCCTGAGCAACCACACATGTTTCGTCTTTGACAGACCCTGGCGACTAGAGTAACTAGGCAGTGGGAGCTGGTAAAGTCTTCCAGGAGCAATCATGATTTCCGGCCTGTTATTAGGCGGCTGAAGGAGATTGACAAGGGAGACTTCCCGGCAGACAGTTTGGTTTGTGTGGATCTAGAGTTTGATGCAAAGCGCAACTCTGCTAAAGTCTACGAAATCGCTGTTGAACTTGTACTTTCTTCTTCTCAGAATTAAAGCATATTCCTTAATAATAATTTAGTAATATAGCTTTATAAGAATGCTTGAGAGCATTTCTATACACCTTGCTTTCTCGTATAAAGCTTTATCTACAACTAGGAAGAGGAGACATTTAATTTGGAATAATAGCTAGATTTATTAGCCTCGGGAAGAGAAAATGCAGATAATGTCAAACTAACAATTCCCATTGCTTCCAAATGCAATCTCGAAGAACCTTTATTGCATGCGCGAGATAACTATTATTATTCAGAGGGTTAAGCTCAAACTCCTCCAGGGCTAATAGCACGGTCTGCGACGTGAAAATCATCTTTTAAACTCTGAGCAGGTTGAGATGCACGGAGCCATGGTATTTTATTCTTGTTGATTTTCGGATCCATGCTGCAAGTATACTAATAGCCAGAGGGAAACGAGCGAGGGAGATGAACGAGACATTTGGACCTTGGGCTGGCGGAGGCGCCTGGGGGTATATTAAAGTGACTCGGCAGTGACTTTGGCAAACGGCACCTCGGTGAACATTGAAGTGAGAGAAGTAGGCCAGTGCAGCGTTTTGAGGTGCCTATATATATGAATTATGCACCACCGATCGACAGAAACTACGGGGTCAGAGATAAACTGGCCCTCATCTTCCGTAGTATAGTGGTCAGTATGCAAGCTTGTCACGCTTGAGACCCGGGTTCAATTCCCGGCGGGAGAGCCACTTTCCTTTTTGCCTCTGCAGGCGGTTTTTTCTTTTTTTTTTAAAAAAAAATTTCTCCTTACCTCTCTTGACTTGATAAAATGATGGTATGGCCTTTTCGCGGGGCAGGTCCGTTTCTGATGTATATTTTAATTGCAGCATACGCCATGTCGATAATTCTCCTTGATGGAAAGGCTTTTCGCATTGAGGCTGGCACAGTTCCCAAGTGGTGCTGTGGCAATCTAGGGAATGCGATATGAAACTACATTACCCACTACGAACGTATATGTAATTAGGACTCCTCTATTACCACATTACAAACTATAGTATCAATGGAAAAAATATTTCCCGTCTCTTTCCCAGTTGACGTATAATTGGTGCAAATTTGACGCTCCTGGCGTCGCCGTCTGCCCTAGGGTAGCTCCGTCCGTATGACGCCTCGGGACCGAAGCTGTGTCCGGCCCGCCGAGTCATTTTCATGTCCGTCGGCGGCTCCGTGCTGCCAGCAAATGTACGCACTACGGAGCACCGATCCTTGGGTCAGAAAGTGCCCGGTATCTAAAACACTCTCCTAGCCCAATAAAAGTTGAAAAGCCCATCAAGTCTCCCCTCTACATTGTGTTCTCAACTTCTCCGGTTGAGTCTTGACACATATATTTACAACCAAAATGGCTTCCAAACGGACAATCGCCATTGTAGGCGCTGGCCCCGGGGGACTCTGTCTCGGCGCTCTCCTCCAGAAGCAAGGAATCCCATACACCATCTATGAACTCCGTGACGCCCCCTCAGACAGCATCATGTCAACGCCATCTGGCATGCTCGATCTCCACGACGATGCGGGCCTAGCTGCCATCCGAGCCTGCGGGCTCTGGGATCAGTTCTCGGCTCTCACCAACGACTGCAGCCAAGATACCCTCATCATGGATGACCAGGGCACTCTTCACTACAAGGATTCAGGGTCGGGCCGTAATCGACCCGAGGTGGCGCGCAACTCGCTCACTCATCTTTTGCTGGCGGCCAACAACCCCGAGGCGCTGAAATGGAACCACAAGCTCCGCAGGGCAGCTCGCAGCTCAACAGGCCAATTTACATTGGACTTTGGTGACAATGGCACCTTTACACACGACCTCGTTGTGGGAGCAGACGGCGCGTGGTCCAAGGTTCGGCCTCTGGTGACCCATGTCGAGCCCCAACACGGCGGCATGTATTACACGACGCTGCATATCCCCAACGCGTCAGAGCGATATCCCCATCTCGCACGCCTCGTTGGACAAGGCACAAGCTTCCTTCTCGGCGGCAAAAACGGCCTCGTCACCCACCGAGGCGTCGGTGGCTCCATCTGTCTTCATGTCAGCGCCTCATCCTCCAACAAGGACGACTTTGCTAAGTTCGAGGACAATACCGACCCTGCCGTTGTCCGAGACACGCTGCTCCATGACCCGAAGCTGTTCCAGGCATGGAGCCCCGCAATCCAAGAGCTCATCAAGGCGGCGCTGGATAACGAATTGACGCCCCGCGATCCTCGGGCTCTGAACATGAGACGGATGTACATGCTCCCCGTTGGGCACACGTGGGAAAATACCCCAGGCGTGACACTGATAGGCGACGCTGCACACTTGATGATGCCCTGGGCCGGAGAAGGCGTGAACCTTGCCATGCGTGATGCGCTCGAGCTGTCCAAAGCCATTGTAAGCGCGTGGAACGAGCCAGACTCCCGAGACGCCGGCCCGTTGTCTACGGCCGAGTATGAAAAGGAAATGTTTGCCAGGGCCCGCGCATCCGCCGAGGAGACGTGGTCTAATTCGAAGATACTGTTTGCCGACAATGGGGCCAAGGCCATGGCTGATTTGATGGCCAGCTATGGGCCGTCCCATGAGTAGGACTTTGTTTTGGGCGGAGGATTGTATATATGATGTGATGGACCATGATGTAATTCAATAGAAGATGGACGCAATACTTTTTAGATAAATACCGCCTACTAGACGAGTTATAAAAGAGGTTAATAAGCAAAAACTCCAATTATTGTTCACAAGTAACGAATGATGCCGCTTCACCGCAGGATAAAACCCGGTGCCGATTACCACATAAATTTCAACTCTTGTATCCTACATTTGCCGCAGCCGCCTTGTTCGGCCGATAATCCGCCAGCATCTCATACACCGGCTCCGGGTTGTGCAGTTCGACAGGCACCGCTTCCGTGCTGCCCATCAACTCAGCCGGGGCCCTCACCCCCGGCATCTCATGGACGGACCGCTCGTGCGGGAGAGTCTGGTAGCTGCCCTCGCTGTATGTCGGGCTGTCCTTGTCGTACGCCCGGCCGAGACTGTGAAGCATACTCTCGGGCGGCGTCTGCTGTCCGCTCATCGGCTGCTGCCGCGCCGCGTCCATCGCGTTCGCGGCCGCGCGCTTCCGCCTACCTCTCCAGATGACAAAGGCCGCGATGCCGGCGAGCACTCCCACCGCTGCGAGAACACCAATGACGATTCCGGCAACGGCACCGCTGGATATGCCGCCTCCCCCGGACGAACCGTCGCCGCCGTTGCTGCCGCCGGCGCCGCCTCCGCCTCCTCCTCCTCCTGCAGAACTACCCGCACCGCCGGCACCGCCACCTCCACCACCTGTATCGACGTTATTAAAGATGTTGATGCCTAAATCTGTGCCGCCGTTGGAGCCCGCGGCGTTACCCCCGGCGGCCTGGCAGATACCCGAGTACTGCGACTGCAGGGCCGGCAGCTCCGTACACTTTGTCAGGGCGTCCCTCTGTTCGCTGCACCACGAAAGCACCGAGGACTGAAACTTGCTCGCCCTGCTGGACAGGCTGTCTGGGAAGCGGATGGCGGCGGCGCCCGTCTGCGTGGCCGCCACCTGCGCCGCGTAGCTGGAAAGGTCGGGCGGCGGCGTGGGGAGATCGAGAAAGTTGTCGAGAACAGACGAGCACTCGTCGAGGACGCGGCGGCCCGTCTGCCGAGCAAAGACGGCCGCCGCAACGTGCTGCTTGGCCGTGGGTGTGGGAGCCAGCCCTAACCCGGCCGCCGCCAGCGCGGCTTGCGAGAGCGCCAACACCAGCGCCGTGGCGATGAGGAGCATGGTGTTTTTGTGACTCTGCTGCTGGTATCGATGAGATGCCTCTCTGGTCCGCGAGAGACTGGCTGCGAAGGGGGGGGCAAAGTGTGAGAGAGCACTGGGCGGCCTTGCCAGAGCCCGTCGTCGGAGGGACGAACTACACAGCCCCCCGAGAGAAGCTTGCCCGGGGTTTCTGGGAACCATGGTGAGATGGAACCCGCGTCATCGGTGGTCCGAGAAAGGCTCTGCCCTTGCATCCTGGTCGGTTTGAATCATGCTGACCCCTGGAGCATGATTTGAATCGACATGGGCTAACCGGAGTGGGAAGCTATGGACGACTGGGTAGTCTGATAAGGGTGCCCGTCTGATAATGCTGTATCGTTTTGATAATTGGTCTGGGCTACATATGGAGAAAAGAGTCGGGAATGGGAAATGGAGCCTCTTTGGAGCGTTGCATGGCATGTTGAGTTGGCGACGAGTTGGGTGCGTTGTATCGCGAGCCACATGGCCAACAACAAGAGTTTTAAGTTCAGGCACACGTGAGCGGGCTTTCTTGACACGGAAAGGCAATGCTTTTGTCATTATTCTCGAATTACGTCCTGTATAAAACTAAACCGCTCTCTAGAACAAAAACTATGCAGCGTGTATATGCTGAAAACGTAGTGGCCCGACTACACTATTATGAGCAAGAAAGGGACTGTCAAACGAGCCGGCCGCATTGGATCAAAGGCAGATA